GGGGGGGGGGGGGAAGGACCCCAGCAGCTCGGCCCGGGTCACCTGCCACCGACAGGCACAAAACGTTGCCCGTTGCGCAACGGCGGCGAAGGCGACACGATGCTAGTCAATAACCGCCGCGCGCCTCCCCTTCCTCGCGGGGATCGTTTACACTAGCCAGGCCGCCGCTGACAAGTTTCGTGTTGTATTTCTTTTGGTTTCGGTATTGGATTATCTTGTGACGCTAGTGACCGTGCGGAGCTTGAGTGTGTGTGAGCGAGAGGGAGAGGGAGTGAGGGAGAAGGGGGGAGAGAGAGAGAGAGAGAGAGAGAGAGAGAGAGAGAGAGAGAGAGAGAGAGAGGAGAAAGCTAGAGAGGTGTGTTGCGGAGGGTAGAATTTTCAGCTCGGTTGGGAGCAAATGATCATCCCCTTCCCGAACCTCGTCGCGGCGCAACCTCTCCGCGAGAAGGGGGAGGGGAAAAGGGAGGGAGGCGCACTCGCCTGTACGTAACGCGCGCGTGGAAACACCGCTCTGCTCTGCGCTCTCTCTCTCTCTCTCTCTCTCTCTCTCTCTCTCTCTCGCTCATCCCCTCTCTCTCGACCACTTTTCCCCGTACCCCTACCTCTCCAGTAGCGACGTCGGCGCCACTGCGCCCGCCGCGCCGCGTGCCCCTGAGCGGCGGGGCGGGTTCAGAGCGGGGTGTGGCCGGGTGGGGCGGGGTGGGGCCGGGATCGTCGGGGCGTGGCGTCTGGGATGGACAGGTCTGCAGATTGTGTTTGTTCCCCTCGAACGACGGCGCGCGGCGACTTCGCGGAACCCTGGTGGATCATAACCGGCGATAATAGGTTTCCCGCTGGATGGACGCGGACCATCCCGACGGCTTCCTAGGGACGGTCATACCCTCCTCTGCGCAGTGCCAACGCAGTGCGGCGGGATGGACCTCTCTTTTTCCTTCCAATTCCCCCCCCCCCCTTCTCTCTCTCCCTCTAGCTCTTCGTCTTTGCCCCTTGTTCGCGGCCGTTCTACTCGGTTGACCGACTCTTTGACCGCCGCGGCTCTGTCCAAAGGGCGGCAGTCGGCTGCGGTCCGCTGTGGCCGAGTGCGCTTTTACGTCGCTAAAAGCGATCTCTTCATCATGGGTTCGCATCGACGTACTGACCGCAGGGCCAAAAATTTTGGAAAAACGTATGAAAGGGTTACGGCTGCATATTTCTGGGCACCGTGGTAAAACGAACGTGCGGGTCCTGGGTCCCCCACTCACCAACTCGCCCTCCTCAACTAGCGAAAACTCGAGCCCAACCCAACTCGTTGTGGTCAACTTGTTGAACACCTATTCTGGGAGCGGGGATCCCTCGAAAAACATAAAACAAAGTTGATGTTTACATCAACAATAGGTAGGAAGGATGAGCAAAACCATGTTGGTTATGCGCAAAGCATTCTCCTCCGGTTTCACTGAAATCGATTCGGCGGTTGAGTTTCTGTCCGTTGTGCGATATCGGACCCGTATATTTATATGGAACTACTCCCGGCCGCAAGTGGTGAAATAATACTTCGGTCTGCATCCATGCATCCATTCGCATCCCTCCCAGGCCGCGGCCGTCCTTTCGGCTGCTTTTGCATTGGAAATAAGCAGCGGCACAGTGGTGGTAGCCGCGGGGAGGTCCTCCACGCCACGCCCTGCCAGAGGGGACCGCCAGCCACCACTCCTCTGGCCGGCGGCCAGTGCGACTCCAGCAGGTGTGTTCCCCTGAATCCCGTCCTTCCCCTTTACCCCTTCTCCCTCCCCTTCCCGGCGTCCTACCACTAATGAGCCCCTCCCCCATGCCGCCTCACCCCTTTTAAACTGCCCTTAACTGCTTTATTCTAGGAACACGACGGTCGTTGGAGAGACCGACGGGAGAGATAGTGAAAGTTGGGGGGGGGGGGGGAGGACAAAACGGTCTGTTCTGTTAAGGACCGCCGGGACCGCCGGGACCGCCGGGCTGGACCAGAGGAGGACAGTCACGCGACAGGGAAGTACAGTGAGTGCATCTCTGACCGATCTCCGCTCCGGCAGTGCTGTTATTTTGCCTTGGGACTGATGAGCGTTCGAGTGGCTGTGGCAGAATTAATATCCGTGTGTGGAGTGGGATTGCGTGGCGTGGCCAGCGCAGCGCAACTAAGTTGCGCTTCGGGTGCGCCGCCACGCAGACAACGCGGCAGTTATGACAACTCTGGCAACACTCCTTGTTTCTGAGCAGACATGCACCCACCACCGCATGGTCATAACTGTTAAAATACGAAAACATCTCGTTTTTCTTCTCTTTTTTTTGCAAATAGTTATCTGCCGGTAATTTCTTTCGTTAGGTGTTGAATATTCTTCTGCAATTATTCGCTCAGCCTGCCGTTCACCTGCTAAACTCAAAGAAAAATAAAAAAAAATAAAAAAAAATAAAAAATGATGACGTCAAAAATTCCTTGTGCTTCAGCAGCGCAGGACAGCCTCGAGCTCGAGCCTCTGCTGCATCTGCTGTGCCTCGAAGCAGAGCCACAGCCTTAATTGATTGCCTAGCTACCATCGAGCAGAGACGCTCCTCTGCAAAGGCAGGGCAGCACGGCGGTGCACTGTAAACCCAACAGCTAACCGTGTACACAAGGGATTGGCATGCACACACCCTTAAAGGCCTCAAGTCGCTCGGTACAGCGAAGAGTTCGGTGGACGGTCGGAATACACTTTCTTCATTACAAGGATTACAAGGATTACTACTGGGACTGGGCGCCACAAGGTCTAAACTTAAGAAGTTATTCGTGCCTTCTTTCCCCCCTATTTTTAAACCTTCTTAAACTAGTGTAAGGACATTTGGTTATCGTTTCAAACTAATCGACAATAACTTTTAAAACGAAACTATTGATGATAGGGTACTGATACCACTGAAAGGCCGCTAAGTTCCAGCGGCGAGCGCACTATAAAATGCTTACGAATTAAATCGAGAGTTAAATGCTTTGCTATGTTACGAACAATTTTTCTAATTTGTATTGCAGAGAAATTGTTTGAATTTCAAAGCAATTGTTTGTAAGGCTAGGAGGGTCCTTACGAACAATCGGTTTGCATTACGCACTATTTGTTCGTAAGCTTTACGAACAATTAGTTCGTAAGCTCACGAACAATTAGTTTGTTCAAAAACCTTCGTAAGCTACGAAGGTTTTGGTTTGCATTACGAACCTGTTGTTCGTGAGCAATTTACAGTGCGCGCTGATTCTAGTAGGGGAAAGGGGGAGGAAAAAGTCTAGTAAAAAGCTGCACATCAGCAACATCAAACGGCCTGTGTGCGGCCGACCCGCTGCTCTCGGTGAAATAATGGAACTCCGGCAGGTCATGGCGGAGAGAGGAGCGAAAGCGCGGCACGGCCAGCAACCAGCAGCCCCCCTCCCCGGCCCAGCATCCCCGATGAGCAGTTTTCCGATGAAGCCTATTACGTGTGTGGGATGCCCTGGCCGTGCACATGCACATGGTAAACAGAGCTGGGATAAAGAGGATTGGAGGGCAGGGGATGGACAGGAGCACAGGGGAAGGGCGGACTGGAGGGCAGGGACAGGAACACATGGAAAACGAGTGAGACTTCATCGGAGCATGCTGAAAGGTGGGGTAAAAATGGTACTAGGAAAATCGACCATCTATATCTCGGTTGTGTGCTTTTTCAAACAAAAGTACACTATTTTTATTTCTTGTATTCTCTTGTTTGACGTATATCGAGGAACGCGCCATAGAAGTACTTCTCGGAACTGATCGGGTAAATACACGTCTGTTAATCTTAGGCCAATGTTTGCGGGCGACGGGTACAATCCAACCGTTTCACGGTTGCACAGATTCAGCAACGTTTTAAAGAAGAAGTAGATACACTTTGTTCAGCGGCTGTACAAGCATAAGCAACTGTTGCCACAACCATGGTCACGTGCACCTGCCAATGTACTCAAAGGTCCAACTTACGTCCTCAAGAGAGGGGGGACGTAGCCCAAAATCGTTTAAAAGGCCGTTGATCGATATCCACGGCACACACTCGACACAGTGTCTCCAACACTGCTGTACCAGCCCAGGTTGCTGAAGAAGCCACCATGTTGAGAGACGTTCAAGGCATCCTGCTGCTCGCAGTGGCGACCCTCGGCTTCCTTAGCGCCGCGGTGCCCGACTGGAACCCGGACTGCATCCAGGAGCCGGTCGGCTTCGGCAGAGGGACCGTGGGAGGCGAGGGCGGCGAGGTCGTGTACCCCAAGAACCTCAACGCGCTCAAGAACTACCTCAAGGATGACGTGCCGCGCATCATCGTCCTCAACAGGACCTACGACTTCACCGGCTCGGAGGGCAATGTCACCAAAGCCGGCTGCTTCTTCAGGAAGTGCGGCGAGGGCTTCCAGTACTCGCTCGACGAGTCCGACACCTGCTTCGGCAGGGAAATGACCTCGGTAAGACCTCATTTCGACTGCAGTTGAAGTAGTTCTGTGGGGTGCCATCCCCCCTTCAATCCTCCTGCGGGGTGGGGGTGATCACCCCTGATCGTAAGATATGTGTCAAGCAGCTGAATGCGCGTTGCAGGTGACGCTCGACAAGACCGGCCCCACGCCCCTCAACGTGGGCTCCTACAAGACTATCATCGGTGAAGGGGGTAGGGGTGTGATCAGAGGGAAGGGTCTCAAGATCAGGAAGGCGACGCAGGTCATCATCCGGGACATCAGCATCGTGGACATCAACCCCCACGTCATCTGGGGCGGAGACGCGCTTGTCTTCAACGGCGTCGATCAGGCCTGGATTCACAACGTGACCTTCAAGGTAAGTAAACAAAGGCCGAAGTCTACGCCAGGTTGCCTTCGTATGGACTTCACCTAAACCCTCGTTGTTTCACCCACAGAACATCGGCCGTCAGTTCTTGGTTACCTACCAGACCAGCAACACGGGCATCACCATCTCCTCGTGCACGTTCGACGGCGAAACCCCCAACTCCCCATTCTGCGACCACAAGCACTACTGGGTGTGGCTCTTCTGGGGCACCGATGACCGCATCACCCTCATCAACAACAAGATCGTCAACACGAGCGGACGTCTGCCCCATGCTGGCGGCTACGCTACTGCCAAGGTAGGAACCAACACAACGGAACTAGAAGTAGAAGCCGTCTGCACAGACTAACTCACTCCACACACGCCCTCCTTCCTCCTTCCCTGTTGCAGAACTTCATCCACATCGTGGGCAACTACTTCGACGTCAACTCCGACGTGGCCCTCGAGCCCTGGGACGGCTCATTCCTACTCGTGGAGGGCAACCGCTTCTGCGGCCTGACCAACCTGGTCAACAAGCACGCCACCAACGGCAACCTGTTCCTGGTGAGCACCGAGAAGCAGGCGCAACGCTGCGAAGCCGTCTTCGGCCAGCCCTGCCTGCCCAACCAGTACCGCCTGACGAACCCCGTGATGCGCTGCGACGCCCCCGTCCTTGCGGAGGCCCTGGGGATGCAGCTCTGCCCCGAGGCCGTCAACGACGCCCGCCAGTCCGTCTGCGTGCCCGCGCCAGTCCTCAGCCCGGACTCCACGGGCATCCTCGAGTACTAGGACTACGCACTCCAGTACCTGGCCGGCAGTACCTGTCGAGGCCGCCCTGCTCTCTCTCCTTGTGATCGAACTAGTGTGTAAATAAATTTGACTACGAACATTATTTCATCCGTTTGTCTCTTGCCCCGCTTGGCGCCTGCCGCCCGCGTGTGCACCCGAGCATGAACAAGCAGTTAAGCGCCTTTTTACGGCCTTTGTGCTCCGCGAACGCATCCGAGTGACGGCCGCGCGTAATCAGCCCGAGCTTGGCGGTCACTTGAGCGGGACCGACTCGCTCCGTCTCTCTCTCACCATCACTTGTGTGTCTCGCTCTCGCTCTCGGCGGACGCGTCCTGATCGCGCGCGCGATGAGCGAGCCGAGAGCGACTCGTCAAAAGCGTGATGCGCCTAGTTGCTGTGATTAAAGCAAACGAGTGCAGCGTTTGCAGCCCGGCCATCGCGTCGAGTTGCACAAATACTCCCTCTCTCTCCCTCTCCCTCCCTCCCTCCCTCTCCCTCTCCCTCCCTCCCTCTCCCTCTCCCTCTCTCTCTCTCTCTCTCTCTCTCTCTCTCTCTCTCTCTCTCTCTCTCCCCCTCCCCCTCCCTCTCCCTCTCCCTCTCTCTCTCTCTCTCTCTCTCTCTTTCTTCCTTCTCCAACACACACAAGTGCACACACCAACGCCCCCATCCTTTCCTGTTGCGCGAGCTCGACCCGCAGCGGCGGCAGCAACAGCGACACCCGCGCTCCGCGCGCCATGCTCGCGCCGGGCTCGCAGTTTGTAATTGAATGAGGAGGCAAACGTGACGGCCAACTAGCCTAACTTGTCGGGGAACTCGCGAAGAGCATTAGCGGCGTCGAGGAATCAGGGTCAGCGGCGGTGGCGGGGCCCCCCATGTGCGAGAGGAAGACCAGCCCTAGCAGTGGGGCGCGCGACCAGGGCGCGGCCAGGGCGCCGCCAGGCTGCACCAGGGCCGGGCGCCAAGCCACGCCACGCACTCCCGCGAGTGACTTTGAATCCAAAGTCTTTCAAAGTCGCGGCCATCGCCGTCATGGCCCTCGCACTTGCGCGGCCGTCACACAAACACAACAGCAAAGAGGAAAAAACCGCGAGGAGCAGCAGGGCGTCGCCGTCGGGTTTTCTTTTTTTTTTTAACCCCATGCTAACTTGTTTCGTCGCTGAACTTTTTCTCGTCCCTGCGCGTCTCGTTGGGACTCCAGCGCATCCCCGTCCTCCCATGGACGTTACAACGCCCGACATACACACACATGCGCTCTCTCTCTCTCTCTCTCTCTCTCTCTCTCTCTCTCTCTCTCTCTCTTTCCCCCCCTCTCTCTCTCTCTCTCTCTCTCTCGCTCTCTCGAGCGCGCGCGCGCTCTCCCTCCCTCTCTACTCCCGTCTCGACCCCACTGCTTCTACCGTTGAAATCGGAACAAAAGGCGTGGCGCGGTCACGCCCACGTGGTAAGATATGGCCCGACCCACCAAACCCCATCCAGCCCCACCCCGTCCCTTTACCGCAAAATCCACTTCTTCTTCACAGCTACGCATAGTTGTTCAAATTTACGGGTGCTCTAGCAGTTGATAGTGTATACGCGGCCCCTCTTCCCCAAACGGAAGTGCCTCGCCCACCACGTGCCGAAGTCCAAAGAGGTCGGTGGGTCGGGTCGGCCGGGTCGGTGGGTCGCGGGGAGGGCCGGTTCGGTTCGGTTTCATACACTTTTCTTTTCCGGTTTATCGCTCTCCTAAAAACCGAATGAGGCTGCTTGCGCGCGCAGGCGGGCGCGCGCCGCTGGCCGGGCCGGGACGGGGCGACGTGGGCGGTGGCTACGCGGGGTATTGGACGTATTCAGTTATAGACGATGAAAGGAGACGAAGAGAAGAGTGAAGAGGAGGGGGAAGGATCCGGAAGCCGGAGGAGGTCGCCCGGACACGCCGATACCCCCGGGCCTGTGGCGGGCGGGGTCCGCGAGGGCGGCGGCAGCGGGCGGCAGGGTCCCTATGCGTTATGGAGACGCGGCCAGCGCCAGGGCCTAGAGGCCAAGGCCTCGGCGCGGCCACGACCGCGCCAGCGCCGCCGCCTCTCCCGTTCCGGACGACCGAGCCGCGCGGGACAGGTCCGGGCTAGACAAGACTCTATACGATGTGTGCCCGAACCTGCCGGCTGGGCAGTGTCTGCGCAGAGGGGAGATGCGTGTGCTATGGAAAACGGCGTCAAGATCTCGTGTGTCATCTCGAACACGCTCACTCTTCCTATGCAGTTCCTATATATGAAAGTATCTGCCCAAACGCACGTTGTCCCCCTCCTCCTCGTTTCCGTAGTCTTTTCCTCCTCTCCCGATCTCTGCAACGTGACGGGTTCGGGTTCCATAAGAACGTTTTCCTGACGGAGCACAGCGAGATTTAGTGTTCCGTTTTATGTAGTGCCTTGTTTCCCATTATGATTGGTGGCCGCGTCCTCTGCGCTGCGCCCTCAAGCTGTGGTCAAACATGTGTTCTCATTCTTTATTTATAAAATGGTGATCGCCTTTATTTTCAATAGCAAAACCAAACGTGAACCAACCGGAACCCAGAGCAAACTGCCGACAAACTCGAGCGATCGATTTTCAATTTGAAATAACGTGTTCTGTTGTGACCGAGGGGTCCCCCCACTCGCCAACTCGTTGTACACGAGGAAAAATACTCGCAAGATACTCACGACAACTCGCGACAATTCGCGAAAAAAACGAGAAATACTCGCCTTATACTCGCCATTACTCGCATAAACTCGCGGGTACTCGCTAATACTCTCGAATACTCGCGGACACTCACGCAACTCCTTGTACACCCACTTGGAGAGTGGAGGACCCCTCGGTTGTGAAAAATTCAACAAATTCATGGCCAACTTAATACAAAATGTACAGAACCATTTATATGCATTTATTACGTAATTTCTCGAAGGGGTCACTTAACCTCGCAGCTTGTTGCGCCACTTATGTAAAGTCACGGATTGTAATTGACACACTTGGCGTCTGCCCCAAGTCTCCCCTCCCTCCTCTATCCGCTCCCCGGCTCCCCCCTCTTCGTTTCGGCAACGGTGTGACGGAGGCAATTTGCGTCGAGTGTTCTGAGCGGTTTAGACGCCTACGCCTAACGCCCTGCATCTGCTTGGGAGCAGGCTACTGCTGCTGCTTCGGCGACGGCGGCGGTGGCACAGGGGGCTTTACCCACACCGTGAACTTGGATGCCATTGCCGAGGCTGGGCCGCCACTTGGCGCGGAAGTGCGGCGCGTCTTCACGCGCTCCCCGCGTCGACACGCAACGCTCAAATAAACTGAGGCATTATCGCCCTCGTTGTCGTATCGACTGTATCGAAGTGCCGCGGCGAGCGCAAGGTGAAGGCCCTGCGCGGCCGCGGCCCGTGGGAAGGGAACCCCACCACCGCCTTCCTGTCCGTTCCCATTCTGCTGCAGCTCCGGTCGTAATCCTCACAACAATGCCATCCGGATTCGTCCGTTTGATGCGCGATAGCGCGTTGATCGTTATGCAGTTATTGGGTATTTTGAGCTGAGCAAATCACCGCTCTACACTCGGGCAAAATAGGCGGCATCGTCCAAAAACAACGTCCGTTTTTCTCAGATTGATTCGGCAGAAGTACAGGAGCACGGCGCCTGCGATACTCGGGGTAGGCCACCCCGCAGTACACGCCCGCACTGCAGGCAAGATGTTGCCTACCTACCAGGCGCTCTGAGAGCCTGTTTTGGCTCGTTTTGGCTGCAGGTGGCTGGAGTGAATGACGGGTATACTCTCTGGATGACCCCTGGGACATTGGACTTGGCACTTCAAGACTTCAAGCGCCAAACGATCTCAATCTTTAGGGTTCATTTTGGTAGCCAGGCGTTAAACGACCAACAGTTTCTCAGAACCTCTCAGAAATGCGACGCATACAGTTCGCTCGATGCCCTGCTAAGGGCCCACTTGCCCTGTTGCCCGCCCGAAAAACCCACGTGCCACACCGGAGCGATCGCCTCGTTCTCGCAGCAGTCTTCTCTTTCCGAGAAATATACTACGAGAAAAGTCGGCCAAAGTGATAAAAATGAAAATAATCGTAACACTTTTTTGCGATGGCTATCGCATCGTGGACGCGGCGCGGGGGTCCTCGTGCCTCTCTGGCGACGGGGGAAATCCCCTCCCTCCCGCCGCCCACGTCCTTTCACCTTTCCCTTTTCTCTCTGCTAAAACGACGCGCTGGGGCTTCCCCGGGCAGCAGGAGCGGCAGCTGCGTGTGCCGCTGAAGCAGCTCGTCTCCGTCGTCAGCGGGAATCAAGTTCCTCGCTGGCTCGCGCGGTAGACCACCTCT